AAAATTTTCGATATTTCCATACTAAAATTCAAATTTCAATTGCTATTCACTAATTACAAAAATCATCAATCAGCAAACAGAGAAAGCAAACCTTCCATGGCCACAAGTGTAGTTATAGAAGTTTCTGCCATTGAGAATAATGCAGATAGACCTAAAGTGCGGTCAGAATCACACCTTGGTCTTTGAAAATCTTACAAACCATAGAAACCTTAGGGCACGCATTCCTCAACAACAATGCCCACTGCTTAATTACTCCGTACCTTGCATTCACCACTTCCTCCACCGCAAGCACCGTCTTGCACCAGAAAACCCAAAAACCACAAAACATTGCCCCCAGAAAGACCCCCCGCTTCAGCAAAATCTTCAGAGACTCCAAACCCAGGCCTAAAACCTCACATTGATCACCACCCAGATCATTGTTTTTTCACTTAACGATCTCAGAAGAGCTCTAGTACCAACAATGCCAAGTATTCACAATCTCAAAGTGTAAATTCCACCAAAAATGGACGGATTGAAACAATTGGAGACTATACGACATGGGAAGTGACTACTTTTGGATGAAAATTTTATTGAGCATTTCAAATTTCAATTGTGTTGCACGAATCCCAAACACTTGGATCCGGAAATGAAGGGGGGTCGATTGATAACAGCGGATTTAGGTGCCTCAAGCCCCCACAATAGTTATAGCTGAAGGAAAATGTTAAAAATTCAGGAAAAAAAAAAACAAAAAAAACAAAACTTTATTCCCTTTCCCAATCCTATTCCTTCTTCCCGTTGGAATTGAGCATGCTAGGTGACGAGGTAAAAACCGAGGTTGAGGGAGAATAGGATGGGTATTGATGGATTTGCTGCAGATGGAACGCAGGAGTTGGGATTCATAATAGAAGAGGTGAAATTGAGGTGATTCATTAGAAAGACCGAAGCCCAAATCAGAAGACTTACCCTTCCCAACATGACAATTACAGTTATATCCCCAAGACGATAACCATCCAAAAATCCAGATTCCATCAAAATCCAAACAAAAATTTTTATGAGTCTGCTAAAGCAAGTAGATTAATTGGACAACTAAAAATGATTAACAGCTTAAACCTTCAAATATATTTTATAATAAAGAAAGACAAAATTACAAAGCATAATAAAGACAAGAGAAGGCTGACAATTTTAGACAAGCCAATGCCAGCCATAACAAGAACTTCAAACCCAAAAAGCACTTATTCAGGAAACATTAAATCAGAAGCTCTAAAACATCAACTCTTCAACTAGCTTCTTCTTTGAACAATTCTTCTGGCTTTCCTCATCTTCGTTCCACTTTGACTTCGTCGGCCATCAAACAAAGACACAAACCATTTTGGTTTTCCTGTTCGGAAGACAAGATATCCCATCAGCAGTCCAAAAACAACTCCACATCCATAGCCTAACACCACAACTCTCCAGCCAAATCTCCACAACTCATCTTTTTCTTGGAAGGAGCTCGGCTGTGTCCCATTTCCATCACAAGATTTTGATAATGGAATTCCACACAGTCCAGGGTTTCCTTCATAAGAATCATTTCCAAAGGTGTTGAACTGATTGCCCTGTGGTATGCGCCCGACAAGATGATTATTTGAAAGATTCAATACAGAGAGCTGTGTCAAAGATACCAATTCATCAGGAATTTTCCCCGCCAGCTCGTTGGAAGAGAGATCCAACCATTCCAGATTTGTCAAATTCCTTAGTGACGGTGGAATATGACCAATAAGGTTGTTATGAGAAAGATTAAGCCCTTTGAGAGAACTAAGCTTTCCCATAACATCTGGAATTTCTCCCTCAAACTTGTTATTTGAGAGATGAATACTACTGAATACGGTCAAGATTTTCTGCAGCTCACGCTCGGCTCCCTTCCATGTCACAACCAGTGAATATTGATAAGAATTGGCTCCCGTCGACACCATCATGTATTTAGGGGAACCACCATCTTTATGAGGGTCTTTCATCCCATTAAAATTTTCAATGTACCGAATAGGCAAAGCACCAACAAAATAATTGCTGGAGAGGTCCAGAACTCGCAACTTGGGAAAAGATGAACTTTCTTTGGTGCTCTGCACAGAACCGTGGAACTTGTTGGACCTTAAGACAAGCACTTGAAGCTCTAGTAGAGATTCCAACCACTGGGGGAATGTATCACTTATGTTGTTGTTGCCAACGTCTAGAACCTCTAACATGCGACAATGCACCAAAGACCTTGGTAATAAACCGTCTATTTGATTTCCATGTAAGTTCAGATTTTGTAATCCACAGCCCTCCGGAAACCCAAATGGTATATTTCCATCAAAGTAATTGGCCTGCAAATTCAACACTGAGAGAAACTTAAGACAATTTGGAATCTTCCCGATTAAATTGTTATGAGAAAGGTCAAGAATTTCGAGATCATCCTTTTCACATATCCATTCGGGAATATTTCCACGAATGCTATTTTTGGATAGCACTAGGCTTTGCAGACCATTTGAATGTCTTATGAAATTGGGGAATTCACTCAAGTTACAAGAAGAAAAGGAAACATCAGTTAGCATGGGTAATGTGAAGTTGGCATTGACATTCATTCTCAAGGACAGATTATTGTCTGAAAGAAAGATGGTTTCCAGATTTTGAAGCACCGAGAACATGTCAGCTTCTACTAAATCACTAAAATGATTTGATGATAAATCAAGATAACTAAGATTTACTAAATTAGCAATTGAGTTAGGAATTGAGCCCTGGAGTTTGTTGTTTGACAAATCTAGGCGTGTGAGGGAGTTTTGCTGGAATTGATTTATTTGACCTTGAAATTGGTTATCTTTGAGATATAAGGACTCTAACAAAGGTAGGGTGAAAATCCAAGGTGGCAACGTGCCATTAAGTAAGTTATAAGAAAGGAAGAGATAGCGAAGTTGGGTGAGGTTTGCAAGTGATGATGGGATTTGTCCGCTAAGATTGTTAGAATAGAGGTCTAAGTTAGTAAGTTGCCTTAAGTTACCTATGGAAGCTGGAATGGGACCAGAAAACTGATTATTGGAAAGGTCAAGAAAGGCAAGTTGGGTGAGGTTTGCAAGTGATGATGGGATTTGTCCGCTAAGATGGTTAGAATAGAGGTCTAAGCTAGTAAGTTGCCTTAAGTTACCTATGGACGCTGGAATGGGACCAGAAAACTGATTATTGGTAAGGTCAAGAGAGGTAAGTTGTGTAAAGTTCCCAATGGAAGCTGGAATGGAACCTTCCAAGTTGCAGCCAAGCCTCAGATACTGTAATGACTTTAGATTTCCTATAGACTCTGGCAATCGCCTTCCGCAATCCATATCATATAAATACAAATGTTGGAGAGGACTGCTCGAATTGGAACTTGAAAGATCAATAGTGAGGTTTCGGTTTCCACCTAAATAAAAATTCTTGAGATTTGGAAAGCGGAAAATACTGTTTGGAAAGTTTCCTCTTAATTCACTCTCCCAAAGATTAAGAGTAGTCAATGAAGAAGAGAGATTCATGAAGAAACGAGGATTAACAGATGTCAAGTTCACTCCACTAAGCACAAGTTCTCTCACCTCACTCAAGTTGTGAACAAGATATCTCAAGGTAGTTGTTTCAAGGATCAAAGAATTGTAAGAGAGGTTGAGAGAAACTAACTTGGGGAGGTGAGCAATTTCTCCCGGAACTTGGCCCGAAAATTGAGAAAAATAGACATCAAGATGCTTTAGTCTAGTAAACTGACTGATTTCCGATGGAATCTTGGAAAACCTAAAATCATTCAAGGCAAGATTGAGGCTCTGCAGGTTTCTGAGGAAGAAAAGAGTGCTGTTGGAAGGAAAGGTGCCATAAAGGGAACTGCAGCTGAGATTAAGGGCAATTACATGGCCTGTGACATTATCACAGCTAACCCCATCCCAGGAACAACAGTCTATACCTTCCTTCCATGACTCAATCTTAGAATAATTAGCTTTACTATCACATAAACCAGGAATATAAACAGTGTAATTGATGGAGAAGGATGTCTTGAATTGCAGCAAAGCAAGAGCCTCCTCATGAGAGCAGAGATGCGTTGTTGGGAAGGAAGAAGCATGAATAGAGGATGAGAAGGCAATTTTAAGACAGAGGAAGACAAAAAGGAGGCAGAGTGGCGCAGAGAGCTTTGTGAAGATCCTCATATCTTTGTTTGGCACAATAGAGTACTCTAGAAGAGTATATATAGAGTGTTTCAAATTGGCTTAATTCAATTTTTAGTCTATTAACTATCACCTTGATTTCATTTTAGTTTAGAAACTATATTTTATTTCTAAGTGGTCTATTAACTTTCAGATTCATTTCAATTTCATCTACCTGGTTATCTTTGACGGAAAACTTACTATTCTGTTAGAGAACAGTTAGTCCTCTAACTATATTTATTTTGATCTTTTAATCCTCAAATTTATATTTACTATAAAAACAACTTTTATACTTAAAATTATTATTTCTAGGCTCTGATAGCGAATTTTTATTCAGGTTTTCAGAACTTAACTCAGACTACTACTAACTAATGAATAGTTGATATATTAAGCTTAGTTAGTGTGGAATTAGATCTACTAGACTACTAACAAAAATAATCACTTTCTAGTTGTGTTTAGATCTTATAAAATTTTTTATCTATATCACTTTCTAATTGTAGAATTATTCTGTTATACATTTTTACGATTTGATTGCAAATTTTTCAGCGATTGCTTTTAATGTCTTTAATAGACCTTATTTCTTTCAATTTTCTAGAGTTTTTAACATTATTTATTCTTTCTTTAATAGAATCAAATTCTTGAGAAAGTGATTTTCTCATTTTTTTTTTTAATTCTTCTTAGGGTATTTTCATTAATTGTTTCTATTTTTAGAATATTATCAGTTATTCATTAGTTAGTAGTAATCTGAATTAAGTTTTGAAAACCCGAATAAAAATCTAGTATCAGAGCCTAGAAATAATAATTTTAAGTATAAAAGCTATTTTACAGCAAATATAAATTTGAGGACTAAAAGATCAAAACAAATATAGTTAGAGGATTAACTGTTCCCTAATAGAATAGTAAGTTTTCCGTCAAAGATAACTAAGTAGACGAAATTGAAATGAATCCGAAAGTTAATAGACCACTTAGAAATAAAACATAGTTTCTAGACTAAAATGAAATCAAGGTGATAGTTAATAGACTAAAAATTGAATTAACCCGTTTCAAATTAATGTATGCTAATAATTGAATATATTTTATCAAAACAAAAATAAATGAATATAGACCGTAAGATTGACGCATGGTGGATGTCATTTTTCAATCTATTTTTAAATTTTTTTATTTATTATTTTGAAATTTAAATAAATGACTTAATCTAAAATTTTTTTTGCTTTATAAGATTCAAATTAAATTTAAATAAGGTTTTTTAATTTTGTTTATCTTATTAATAAAGCAATAATTTTATTTTGAATTCATTTAGTTTTCAATTTTTAGCTAATAATAAAAGG